TTAAACAAGGTGAGCAATTTTTTTTTTTTTTTTTTTAAATTTTTTTTTTTATTACACTTCAATTCTTTTCATACAAAGGTTTTTCCAGTACTAATGTACAGTACTTAAATCACATTAGCAAACACTAACATTAGTTTCTATGCTAAAATTAACAAACAAAATAACGGTTTGAAGAAGTACAAAGTAGGTGGAGGCATCAGTTCCATAGCACAGACAAAAGGTGTGCAATATTAAGAGCAAAAGAGGCAATTGGTTTGGTTTGAAATTGAAGTGAATCTATACTACTGCTAATTCTACTGCTAAAGTGAAATATAGAAAAGAAATTATATAAATGTATATATTGTACTAACATCATTTTTTAGATTAGGGTCAGCACCTTGCAGGAGTAGTATTTTGCAGATCTCGGCTGAATTACCTCTGACAGCCTTGTGAAGAGCTGTTTCATTTATCTAAAAAAGAGAATATAATATTGTTAGTGTTTATATTCTTTTACAAAACATACAGTCAAAGTGAAAAACTTCTGTTTTTTTCTAGATTGACAATACCAGATTATTTAAATGTTATTAATAGTGAAAATACAATAATGTAATAATTTCAATATTGTAGGCCTAAAAACAATTTTTCTAATGTACACACTCTTTAACAAGGTGTGGTAAAAAATTATGTTATGTTTGTGAATGTAACAATCTTGAGCAATCAAATTCAATAAACAGTAAATCGTTTCAAAATTGTAGTCAGTCAACACGTTTCAATGAAATTTAGAATCAAAAAATATTTTTCTTGCCATTTAACATCCGATGGAAAAATAATAACGTTCCAACTATTGTTAGCATACTATATCAATTTCAGAATTTGGAGTACAGTATAGTTAAAAGCCTGTAAATCAGTGAAAAATACTTTTAGATCCTTGTCCTATTAGACTTTACACTGCACCCTCCAATCCGAGACCCCTCTACTTCGAGGCCACTTTTCCAAAGACCTAAACAACAATCTTCAACCTTTTAACACAAAACTAATCCTCTAAAAACTGGAGACCAACCAAGAGACCACCCCAAATTTTTCAGGTCCCAAGGGTGGTCTCGAATTGGAGGGTGAACTGTAATTTGATTTTAATGTATTTTATTTGATCCAGTTGAATGAGCAATACAGTGTTTTATTTAAATATTTAAAGTGTGTTTTCAGATTTTACTATAAACAGTATTTTGAGGACAAAGAGGAGAACAAAAGTATTTTCAATTAAGAATTCTGTACAGCCGGCTTACCGGTGTTCTGTCATCTACTCCACACAGAACATCGTGAAGAATTCTTTTCACTTCCTCAACTCGGCCGTCTCTTGCAGCACAATGTAGCTCATTCCTAATAGATGCAAGAAAAGTGAATTACAATGAAATGTTTTCTTAAAAAGAATGTGCGATTTTTTATTTCATTCCTTTCATTTAAATCAAGGAACTTGAAGTGCGTAACTAGTAGTCTTGAAATGCGAGGGGAGGGGAAGTCTCGATGATTAAGTGAGGGGAGCTAAATAAGGTAACATGCAGTGATTTTTAACTATTTAATCGTAATGTCCTTGATTCGAACCGCTTTTCAATAGGGGGAACTTGCAGACCGCGAGCTTTTTGTTGGGGGTGGCCGGGGCTCTCCGCACACTTATATACACTATTGGGTACCGTACTTGTTACATAACCAGATTGGATGTAATGCTCTATAAAGTAAATTTAACTCTAGAATTGTTTTTAGTTTTGAGGGTAAAGTCTTGGAGTGGAGTTAAATAGCTTGGTGGTTTAGATGTTTAGTTTCCAATCTCGGATCCTGTGGTTCAATTCCTTTCACGATAACAGGATTTTATTTTTATTATTTAATGGTGAATTGACATGGCATTTCAAAATATGTGGTCTACAATACTGAATTGAACTTTATTGGAGAGTAAATAGTATAAAGAACTTTATGAGCTCCTTGTGTCTCCTACTCGATAAAGTTCAAATTTGGACAGCCATCAGGGGCGGATCCAGAAATGTCCAAAAGGGGGGGGGCCGGANNNNGAAGCGGGGGCCGAAAGTTGGGCCGATTGAGACAACACTGTCGTAGGGGGTCTGGGGCATGCCCCCGCGAAATTTTTGTGTTCTAGACGCCCGGACATAACATTTGAGGCATTCTGGGCTATCATTTTTTTGTTTTTCTCTCTTTTTCTTCTTTTTTTTACCTCCCAAAAGGGGGGGGGCCGGGGCCGGGCCGGCCCCCCCCCCTAAATCCGCCCCTGGCCATTTGTGAAATAAAGTAGCATTTTAATCCCACACTCACACTTACTGCATTTCAGTCCAATTTTGACCCTTTAATTGTTTTTTTTTTTTCAATTTCGTCTTTCAATTTATGCACAATTCTAATTGGTACGCATGGTTGACCGATGGCTGGGGTGTAGTCAGATGTTTATCGGATGTTGAATAAATAAAAAAAACACACCAAATTTAATTGGATATATTATTTTTCAGATTATTCATAGAACTACACACAACAAGAAATAATAGACCGACATTCATTAGGCCTATATTAATGATTAAAAATGAAAATAAATATTTTGAAATATTTTAGTACCATAAAATAGAACAACATACAAATTATACATGTAATTTGTAATAATAATATTATCAGCATTATTTTTCAATTTTCAGTCAATGCTATTTCAAATGCTAATCAAAAAGCCCAAACCCAGTACTGGTCTGTTTCGATTGCGGGTTAAAGCGCAGTTCTTTTTCCCTGGTCATTGGGACTTGGCAGGAATTTTCTTCGACATAATATTTATGACCGTCCTGGCGTACCATACGTACAGGTATTGCATAGCCACAATGCAGTCGTGATTCTTCACACCATTGTCACACAAGGACTTTGCATATATTATAAATTATGATGAAATAGCTTATGTATAAATACTTTGGTTTACAGTTGATCTATCTGAAATCTTACATAAATACAGCTGGCTAGCTGCATAAAATATCAATTTGGTTTGGTTATGGGTTAATGTCACTAATCTGAACGGGTCTACGTCACCCCCGTGCGTGTCACTGTGGCATACACACTGTAGCAGGTGTGGCTGTTGGCCAACTACTAAACAGTAGATGTTTGGCTTGAATGTAGATAAGCTCAATATTATGAACAATCCATCCTAGCCTGCTCCTGCTGATTTACCAGGGAGTTGTTGTACACAATTATAATTTAAAAGAGAATACTGCTTAAACTTACCAACCTACGCGTCGACTGGTACCTTGGCGTTGAGGCACTAGCTGCTGACGGATAAACGTCAGCTCCATGATTGTTGTCTATGACCCGGCGATAGTGGCTACAGTAATGCTTATGATCAAGGGGAATCCCCTTTGGCTTTTTGGGCAAGTTTCCATCCACCAAAATAACTTCATGGCCGTTCCCGTTCCACCGACAGCCGGGTATTTCTTCTGCAGTCACACTCGAATGGGTTTCTCCGAAAACAGGATTAATTCGCAAGAGGTCAATGCGATGGCAAATTTAGCTCCGCATACCTGGCCCGGGATTTATCAATCTCAGCTTAGCAAATATATTAAGTCAAAAAGGTTTAGGCCTAGATGTCCCTAAGCAAATATCTTAAGCTGAATTATCAAATCATCTTAGCAAATTAGCTTAATCTTAGCTTAAAAATCGTCTATGCTTCATACGTACAATCGACTTTTTAATTTTAATAGGCCCTAAGCAATTTTTAAGTTAAAGCAATATTAATAAATTTGACTTAAGCAAAAAAATGGACTTAAGATAAATTTAAGCTGATTTCTAGTTTGAAAGAGCCAGTTCACTTTTTTTCAATAGCGAGTTGATGATAAGCATTTATTAAATGAGTTTACACTAAGAATATCATATATTGCAAAACAAAAATCCTTTATGCCCTACTCTAATTTATTGTAGGCCTACTCTGTTCAAAACAAATTTTTAGTTAATAAAAATAGATGAATATTTACCAAAGAAAATGTTTAGATTGTGCTTAGTGATTTTAGAAATTGAGAAAGGTAGAGGTTAAGAAAAACAAAGAACGTATTTTACATTTTTAAGGGCTGGAGGCTTATTATTTGTAAGTTTAATTTAAGTAGACCAAGCAGGGAGATCTGGAACGCACTAGGAACATAGGCCTATTGTAATATAGAATATTCAATTTATCCTAATTGTCACTCTGTCACACACAGAAAAATTGCTCATGAAAATCATATTGTAAAACACAGATTCGTAACTGATTCGTAAGATTCCATAAAATTCGGACACGACAATGATGTACCTAAACTAATTCCTCCACGGTTGTACAAATGAATCTTTAACATGTTATGGAATCAATACGAAACATTAACATGTTACAATAATATATAAAGTCAGTTTTTGAATATACTGAAACATAAAATCTGGCATTTACACAATTAAATTTTGTATCACGTTATAAAGTAGAGCTGCGCAGTATTAAAGTTTAAATTATTATAGGCCTACTCTTTTCAAAACAAATTTTCAGTTAATTATTTAATAAATAGAAAATATTTACCAAAGAAAACGATTAGATTAGGCCTATTAATTTTAGAAATTAAGGAAGGTAGATGGGTTAAAAACAAGAACGTATTTTCCGTTTTTAAGGGATGGAGGCCTATGTAATTTTAATAAATGTAGACTAAGTGTCTAGAACCTACGAAGATATTAATTTCCCCACCTCATATCCACAAGAAAAAGAACCGTTGATGTTGCACAAGCTTGATCACTCAAATAAATAAGACCAATATTTTCACATATTGTAATGGAATATTTATTAAATTTACTCTGTCGCTCTGTCACACACATTGTATAAAATTGCTCATAAAAATCATCTGACTGTAAAACACACAGATTCGTAAGATTATCATCCATAAATTATGCGTTGTACAAATGAGTCTTTAACATGTTAAGAAATCAAAACGAAGCAATAACATGTTACTATTATATATTAAGTCACAGTTTTTAAAAAATAAATACTGAAACATCAACATTGGCACTTATACTTTATGTAAGATCAGGCCAATTAAATTTTAAGTATTATGTTATATGAAGTTGAGCTGCCTAGTATTAAACTTTAAATCAAATCGTTGGAAATGTAAGAAATCGACATACAAAACACAAACTGATAATACAAAATATAAATAACAGTAAAAAAATATTTTAAAATTTGTTTGTGAACACACATTATAGGTGTCTAATGAAATATAGAATGATCCATTCTACATGATTTTTCTCCCTCTGCAGACACCATGGCTGGGGGCTTCCAGTGGGGGATGCTTAAGCATCATCTGCTACAAATGTACATATTGGAATTACTGCCTGTTCAATCGTAATTAACTATTACTTCGCACCACCGTACATGAACATGACAAGTACGTGAGGCCCCATGGAGGTCCCCAGCAATGGCGGCGCCAATAGAGAACACATTTTCTTAATTAGATTTGTCTATACAAAAACTTGAAATATGAAATTAAAATCACTAATGCATACTTGAAATATCAACCACTTGATCACCATCACTTGTTTGCATAATTTCAACAGCATTTATCTTTATTTGAACCATAGTTGCAATGGAACATAAACAAAATAAACACACACAATAATAATACATTATATTATTGATTCTTTTTTACCATTTCTTCTACACTGTTGCCATAAAAAGAGATTGCGACTGGCCCGTAATTCAAGGACTTCCACCCGTTAAAATTCCTTGCTTGTAAGTGTACCGTACCAGCAATAAATAAATATTGCATTGCAAATAGTTTTAAAATAAATTATAATGTCGAGCTATACCTATTGATTTTTTAAATTTTCACCCAGCAGTGAGTACTTTACCGCTTATAAATACACAGGCATATAATGGTCTATAAAAACACAATTTTTTTCCCTACTGAACAGTCACAGTATGCATCAACTTAAGTTTAAATTGCCAGAATATCTGTTTTCTAAAAATACTGTACAAAATATATACACATTAAATATTATTACATTACTCTGTACATATTTATTATTAAATAAAATACCAGTAATATCTGTTTAGAATTTGTAAACATATATATAT